CCGGGTGCTTTCCTTATTGTGGCCAAAAAAAAAATTTAAAATTTAATTTTTTTTTTTTTTTTTTTTTTTTGGTGAATGAACAGAGAGAGAGAGACTATTTTTCGATCATATAGGGATAACAACAATCTGGAGTGGTGATGATAAAGTGGTTATTCTCATCAAACATCACAAATGAAGAGTGAAATTGTTGTAGAAAATAAATTGACAAACGAAAAAAAATGGCCATAAAAAAATCTAGTCTAGTGGAGTGTTAAATTTGTGTGAATAAGAATGATGAAAGTGGAATGGACTTTTTCTTCAATTGATATTATTCATCATCGTCGTTGTCGTCGTCGTAAATAATAAACGTTTTTTTTCATTAGATCGTTAACCATTTGGTAGATCGTAAAAAAAATTGTTCGTTCGTTTATTTTGCACACATGATAATTGTTCAAAAAAATCCAAGTCAAAATTTAACACTAAATTATTTTCTTAATGCAAAATGACATATGATTCCAATGATAATGACAATTTTTGTTTAATGATGTTATGCAACAAAATCAGAAAAACTCTGTATCCAAAAAAGTCAGAATCGTTAATTTTTTTTTACAAAGTAATTTTTGGCCAATGTTTAATTTTTGAAAATGTAAATGTGGAGAAACAACATCAACATCAAATCAAGTCAAAACATAGGAAATGAAACTTTGTTGTTGTAAATGTAGCTGAAAATTGATGTTATTCATTCATTCATTCATTTTTTTCGGATAGATAAGATGTGATGATCGATAATTTAGGCAAAATATAATTAAGAAATAAACATTCAACAACAACAATAATCATTAATGATATGTGTGTGTAATCGATTGATCTTTGATCATTGATCATTGATGATGATTGAAATTCAAATGGAACAAATCGATTCAAACAAAAAAATTGTAATCTTTTGACCATTAATGAATAAAATATGCAAATTACAAAATAAAATAAGAAAAATTTTCTAATTACAACAAAAAACAAGCCTACATAATTCCAAAAATCTATATTTATAAACATTAATCAAAAGCAAAAGTAAAAAATGTGTGTTATTTCGTTTAATCTGATTCACAGTTGAGTGAGGTTAGGTTGATGACTATGGCTATATGACTATGGCTGTGATTCATAGTTCAGTGAGGTTAGGTTGATGA